GCTGATTTATATTTACGAATGATGTCCTTGTAGCGATGATAAAGTTTAGTAAATGTTTTGACTAATTTGTGATATCGAAAACCCTGGTGTAAAAAATTTTCAGTAATACAAATGTTTCTTTCGTTAAAATCAAATACGTTGTTACATACACGAGCGAATCGAACAAGTTGAGATATGTGAACACCATAAGATGGTGACAAGGGAACGTCACCATCTAAAAATGGATAATTAACAATAGGAAATGAAAAATCATCTCTTTTATCATAAATTTTTGTATTAAGCTTAAAGATATAGATATCAAGATCCCGGAAAGGGCAGTGTTCATGGTTAGTATTGGCTTTATATTAAGTCAGTTCAGCAGGATAAATCTCTTTAGTGTACATACTGAAGTCGTCATTATTGAGAGCCAATATATCATCCAAATATCTAAAAGTGTTATGAAATTTTTGTATCAGATGTTGTTTCGTTGGGTCTTTGCTAATTTAAGTCATAAATTGTAACTCGTAACAATACAGAAATAGGTCCGCAATAGGTGGTGCACAGTTAGTCTCAATTGGAATTCCGATAACTTGACGATATACGGAATCTCCATAGCGAACAGAAATGTTATCTAGTAAAAATTCAAGGGCAGTTATCGTATCAAAGCAGGTCCAAATGTCATAGTTCTTTTGTCTGTTGTTACTAAAAAATTACCAAAAAGAGTTAGCACATATATATATTCTGACTTTTTAAATGCCAATTTAATTAGGTGTGTGACTTTTTCTTAATAAAATTCTGAGGCAAAGTGGTATATAGGGTAGAATGAATTTTATACAATTATAGCTTTAGTATGAGGTCGATACAAGGATATATCGACCTGAAAGAAGAATATTGACTGAGGACGAAGTGCAATATCACTTTTCTATCTGCTGTTTTCAGTCTACCTATGAAAATGTAGTTGTACATGTAACACTTTTTTAACGAATCAAATTAGTTAGAATATACACAATAATAATATAACAGACTATCAAACATCAATTACAAATAGCTTTAAAGTTCTTTAAATGATATAAGAATATTGATTATTTTCGCGATTTGAGTCTTAGAAAGGGCAGTTAAATCCTCATCATGCTCATTGTACGCGTTTCTAGTCCTCGTACAATGCATTAAAATAGACAGATAAATGTCGCGTAGACAGTAGAGTTAACTTTGCAGTATAAAATGCCTACCTCGAACATAGGGAGCATTTCCCGATATACGGTGTACCATGCAGTAAAATAGGTAACCAAAGACGACGTCCTGCGCCTATGAGACTAACACAGTAATCAGCACGTATGTGTTGTCATCATGTCTGTGTTGACATGAAGGTTCATTGATATGGTCATAATTGTAAATTAACTGTTTACAAACCGTTATATTTTTTGAAATACTTAGGATTTTCTACCCCAGCAGTAGATTAGCTGTATTTCTCAAAACCTTTCGGAATTTTGGGGTCTTCAATACTCTTCAACTTCAAACGTTATTTGGCTTCTTTATCTTTTTTTATTCAAGCGACAATGATGAGCCTTTTGTAGACTACACGTGCGTCTTGCGAACATCATTTTAAGCCTGGTATAGATTGTGAGTTTATGTATATGTAGCGGGTAGGAAAGCATATCCTGGTAACATATCCTGCCTTCAAAATAACAAAAGAAAAATCGAATACAATCTTTTAACGATTTGATTTTGTATTCGTAGACGGTCCAGGATGCCTCAATTAGACGGTTTCAGTTGTCTTCAATTGAAAGGCTTCTTCATATACGGTCCCGGGATGCCTTAAATAGACGGTCCGAAATTAGTTTTTTTTTTAAATTTTGTGTTAAATTGGAGGTGCGAATTGTCTTTTAAATAGACGGTTCAAGTTGTCTTAATTAATAAAACAGAGGCGGATTCCTGTGATCATTAGATACATAAAAAAAAAATTTGTAACGCACTCGGTATAAAAAGAACTATAGGATTTTTACAGGAATTATCGTTTAGCTGAAAGATAATCGTCACATTTAAATACAGCACATAGATAATTATTTTTGTCTTGTCGCATTTGAAATTTTACCAAATCTTATGATTCCCTGTTATTGTATTTTCTATTGAATTTGGATATGTGAGTGGTTGTTACGACATTCTGTGACTTAAAAGACAGATACAAAAAGTTTATGACAGCTTGATTCAACACGTCAACCTTACAATAATGAAAGTTAGCCTTTTCAAACTTCCACCTAAACAGCGTTGAAGCAACACGTTGATGCTTACGAAAAACGAAAAACGATAACATAAATATTAATTTTGTAAATTTTTGACAGTCAGAACTGTTCAGAACTGGTTTAATAATCATGTTTCAAGTGTTGAGCAATTATCTTTATCGCTGTTATTTAGGTAATGTTTCAATGGATAAAATGTCATTGAAATACAGGCGATTAATAGGGAAATTTTATGTAAATGTTTACAAACTTTTAAAGTTACCATATTTTACTAAATTGGTAGTAAAACAAACATATTCAAAATCCATTAATTCATCAATGAACACACACTAAAGGTGATGTTTAAATTATTAAATTATTTATTCGATGTATTCAATGTATATTTGTTGTACTGTTACTACATTGTCACAGGTTCGGGCGAGGGTTGGGCGCTCACAAACATGTTTAAACTCGCCAAATTAATTATCTGCATGTCCCATGTCAGGAGCCAGCAATTCAGTGGTTGTCGTTGTTTGCTGTCTGTTATATTTATTTTTCGTTTATTGTGTTGTTATTCTATATATATATTTCTAGTTTGAATTGTTTCACATTGTGTCGGGGCCTTATATAGCTGACTGAAGGGTATATGTGTCGTGCATTGTTGAAGACGATGAGGTTTTCTTTAACGACCTAGACTACTCATGAGGGTCTTGCACCGTATGGTGGCCTATAATTGAAATGCTTAAATCCACGTTATTTGGACTGTGTTGGATAGTTGTATCATGGGCAAATATACGACATCTCTTTACTTTATATATGCTGCAATATTTCTTTGTTTTTCTAAATCGGTTTTACTGCAATTTTGTACTAAACAAATGCATGTAACCAACTGAGAAAAACCCAACAGTGAATAAAATTGATAAAACAATGTATTTTTTCTTTATTATTATTAAAATACGTTAAAGACTGCAGAACAATAATATTCCTGAATGAGAAAATAGATCATAATATGTTGATTGATTTCAAAATCCAGTCTTGATCGAACGTTTCAAAGGGCGTTATGTCCATTAGAAATACCTATAACTGGAAGGAACAAATACGTTTGATATCTTTTACCATGTCAAATAGTATCAACTTACAACAAACTATATTGTTTTTTTTCTACTCTGAATAATATGTTACAAGATTCAAATGAATTTTTTCTTAGCTTTTTCTTTTCTGCATCTAGATTTAAACTAAGAAGAAAAGGAGTCGATAATGGCTTTACGGCAAAGCCTGGCTTTCTACCTGTTTCTAAGCCTTGTACAAATAAAATTTATATTTCGAGACAATGTATGGTTATTCTATATTTATTTAAAGCAATTATCTTGCTTTTATTGGCTTATGATGTCGTCAAATCCACAGTTGACATGTGGTAATTGTGAATTTTTGTAATGAATCATTTTACTGAGTTTCCATTTACTTCTGAAACAAAGTTTTAATGAAAAAAAATCATTTCGTGGAATTATCATTCATTTTGATTTTATACCTTTTTAAGATCAATGAAATTGCTCTATGGTAAATGCAATGCATTAGAATTAGGGAAGACTTTCTAATTTCTAATCTAATTATGTCTGATCCTTTGGTAATTGTTTTGGACGATAAAATATGTTTAAAGTAATAATAGAGTTGTGGAGTTGGAATAATCATTCTGTATTTGAGGTCTTCCATGGTAAATCTGTATTAACGAAAATCAAAATTTGAACTGACAGTGGCAGCTCTTAGTATACAATTGAGAATGGAAACGGGGAATGTGTCAAGGAGACAACAACCCGACCAAAGAGCAGAAAACATCCAAACGCCACCAATGGGTCGTCAACACAACGAGAAAATTCCGCACCCGGAGGCGGGTTTCAGCTGGCCCCTAAACGAAAATGTGTACTAGTTCAGCGAAAATGTACGACACACTAAACTCTGAAACATATAAATGAACCAAAATAAAAAAACAACATACAATACTAACAGAGGCCAGAGGCTCCTTACTTGGGACAGGCGCAAAAATGCGGCGGGGTTAAACATGTTTTGTGAGATCTCAACCCTCCTCTATACCTCTAACCAATGTAGAATAAACAAACACACAGCAATATACACAGTAAAACTCAGTTTAAAAAAAGTCCGATTCCGATGTTAGAATAGATAACAGAAAACAATAAGCAAAACGACAATGATACATAAATTATAAAAGGACTACTAGCAGTTACTGACATGCCAGCTCCAGACTGATTGAAAGATTATGTCTTCATCATATAAAAATCAAGCGCAATCCCTCACGTTAGGGGTTTAGTATCATACCATCATAAAATATATGAGAAGAAAATAACTCGTATCATGCCAACAACTGGTTTTAGAATAAATGTGTTTATTTCCGATGCAAAGACCCTATGAGTGAATCAATATTAATTCCAAAAATGCCATCTTTAATGACCTGACAACAGTATCGTAACTATATCCCTTCTGAATAAGTCTGTTTAAAGGTTTGGTTAGCTTTTGAGGTGAATGACGATACTTTTGTGCTTTGTATAGAATATTACCATAAAAGATTGGATGTGAAATATCTGAACGTATAAGATGTCTGCATGTTGATTTATATTTACGAATGATGTCCTTGTAGCGATGATAAAATTTAGTAAATGTTTTTACAAATTTGTGATATCAAAAACCCTGGTGTAATCATTTTTCAGTAATATAGAGATTTATTTCGTTAAAATCAAATACGCTGTTACATACACGAGTCAATCGAAAAAGTTGAGATATATAAACACCATACACAATACTGTAATTTATCAAACATCCGACACATCAACAAACATTTCCTTTAAAAAAAACCATACTCTAAATTTGCAGTGCGTTTTTCAAATCATAGGGATTAAAAAGATGTTTCTTGCTTTTAAGACCTTGTCAACGAATAAGGCATATTACAGTGAGTTACATTGAGAATGACCAGCTACAGGTTGAAAAGATTTCGTTCTTGTGGAATGTTTCTCGTAATTGTAGTCCTCTTAGCGACACAGAATTGTCACTGTAGCGTAAAAACTGTTAGATATGCCGCCATTATGAAGGTCTTTCTTGTCTTCCAATTTAACCATTTTCAGATACAAATAAACAAGTATTAGGAAATATAATTTTCATCTTAGAAAATGTAACTTTTAAGGCCTGTAATAAAGGCATTTAGTTTGATGTAAAACCATGTTGTATTATTTCTATTTCCATTTATACAAGAAATTGTCTCCTGCACCTGTTCCCTTCCAAGAAGTAATACTACTATCATACAAAGTACACTGTGAACATCCTGACGCCGATGGCTCATACCTATAGTACCAGCAGCTTTGGTGTCTCAGACATGATACAGCGCATCGAAGCTTGGTACATTTCGGACTTGTTGACATCTGGTTCAAAGTACTGAGTTGAATATTTCTTTCCATCATAAAATAACCAGCTGCTGTTTCAGTTCTTTGGACCGCTTGTGGTGTTGAACAGTCGGGTTCGTCTAAATTGAAACAAAAGAATAAACTGTTAAACATTTGGTGTTTTTTATTATTATATGTTGAAAAGTTGTTGAAAATACCTTATAACATGGTTCATAAAACGATTCAAATCTATAATGGGCAACTGATGTTTTACAAAGAAAGTTGCTTACTTTATTCCTAAGGGAAATACATTTGTACATGCCTAATGTATAACTATCTTTGCTTTCTAGTCAAATTGAAATTCAGTCGTATGACAAAAAGAAGTATTTTGCAATGTTTAATTAGTTTCTAAAGTTTAATTCAAGGTCAAGTTTTCTACAACGAAGTACCTAATAGAGAAAAAAGTTATAACAAGGTCACTTTCTGGTCCCTTAGATTCCAAAATCATCATAAATTAATCAAATAACATCATTCAGACTTACGTGACAATTGCCTGCAGAAATCAATTATATCATAAAAAAAAATATAACTAAATATCAAACTTCAAGGTGAATTCAAAAATGGGAAGTCCATAAAAACTGACAAAATCAATCGTTATCAACCAGAAAATATTATATTCCTGATTCGGTACAGACATTTTTTCAAAGAAAATGGATGGTTAAACCTGGGTTTATAGCTATCTAAACCTCCCACTTGTATGAAAGTTGTATGATATTTAAAAAGTCTATTACATTTCTGATTTTGGCCTTCAAACCCTCTACCAATATTGTCTCATCCTATAATCTATATTATTAGCAACAGCCTTACCTAAATTAATCTATGTCACAGGTTGCTTAATACAAAGATATTTGGGCGAATAATTTTTTTTTCTGTAAAGGATGATGCTAATATTGAATTAAAAAGAAACGAGTTAAAGAGGTATAAGTATATGTTAATTGTGAAACATTTCTGATGTACCATTGACGTTATTGGAACGAGAAAAATTTTACAATCTCACCTCATTAATTAATTAATAGAATCAACATTAATTTTAGGGCCTAAAAATGCTCTTATAATTCTTTATTTTTAAGACACTATGAAACTTACTTTTTATCCAATTCCCAGCCTTGCAAGATGGTTCTGAATCACTTTTCGCTGGTTCTTTTTCATTACTGTAAAATGCAACACATGCAACTCTGCCTTGTAAATTAGGTTTTCGTTCATCAAACATACCACCAACACGTAAAATGCCGGGAATAACAAAGTCAACATTGTCACGATAACTGTTATCATGTTCTATTTTGCCTCCATTGAAATTGATGATCATTTTACCATTGCTTATGTCTATTCCGAAAGTTATGAAATGCCAATTATTTGTTGGGATCTGCTGTGTTGATGGTGGAGATATTTCGGATTCGGTATTAAGAATTCTTTCCATGTGAATATATCCTCCAGATATATATAAAGCAAGTTCTTTTAATTGCTGTGTTGAATCGTTTGGTTTATAGTGCAACAATGCTCCAGTATCAACGGTTGGTCTCACCATCATTGAAAATGAATAATCTTTGTTGGAATCAATTGTCGCATCAATTACCAAGTCAACAGGAGTCAGTCCATCAAGTTCGACAACTGGGTTAGGATAATCTGGGGGCTGACCTCCAAATATTCGTCCACACTGACCAGTATCTACAGGATCTGTCGAGGGTTCCTGAACCTCAGTTGTATATGTACTGTTGTCGAAGGGCCATAGACGAGTTGGGGAGTTTGCAAAAACAATATGTGCTGTACTTATCACTAAAAAATAATTTACAAAAATTAAATAACTTATGTATATTTATAATGTATATATACAAGTCTAAATTGAAAACAACGTTCAAACCTATGATTGCGTTGGATAAAAACCGCAATTTTTATACGTGTGCATGCAAAACAAATTTCTTGTTAGAGGGGTCTAATTACAGCACAAACAACATTTTCCAGTTTATTTTATGAAACCAGGTATATTCGTAATTGTACATGTAACAACTTTCTATATAAAAATAAGGAGATGAGGTATGATTGCCAATGATACAACTATCCACGAAAGTTGAAATAAAGTGGATGTAAGCAATTATAGGCAACCGTATGGCCTTCAACAATTAGAAAAAACCCATACCGTATAGTCGGCTATAAAAGGCCCCGACATGAAAAATATGACAAAATTCAATTGAGAAAACTTACGGCCTAATTTATAACAATTAATTAACGAAAAACAAATATGACACACATGAACCAACGAAAGCCACTGAACTACATGCTCCTGACTTGGGATAGGCACATAAAGAATGGCGGGGTTAAACATTTTTGTGAGCGCTCAACCCTCCCGCTAACCCGGGACAGTGGCGTAATAGCACAACATAAGAAAGAACTATGAAAATCAGTTGAAAAAAGCTTAACTCATCAATTCGATACAAGGCAGAAAAATATCAAGCATAAACACAGACCGGACGTGGCAGTGTATTTATCCATCCGTCATCCCTAACATCAAAAAGGACACTAAGTACAGATCTGAGAGTATTCGAAGTTACTGACAGCTAGTTCAAGCCATTAACAACTAATAAAAAAAAATCATGTATCTAAGACTAAAATATCAATCAGTACACATCCAACATCCAATGGATTTCGTATAAAGACGTCATCAACAGTCAGAGAAAAAATGACCTTGTGCAATGCCAAAATAAAGGATCGACAGATTGTAGTACCGTTAAAGTGCATATGTGTATAACAAAAACTATTAGTATGATTTTAATTTACTGATAAAAAAATCAATATTTATACCAATAAAAACAATATTCAAATATCTAATTACAGTGTTGAATTGGTAACCTTTTAGAATAAGTTTACTTAAAGGATTGATAAGTTTACCCAGATCGTATATAATTATAATTTGTGGTAACGAAATTACTGACTTAATAATTTACCAGTAATATATGGATTACGCTGATTGAAATCCAAAACGTCACTACAGACACGGGCATAACGAACGAGTTTGGGATATATAAACACCATACGGTCGTGCCAGAGGAACATCGCCGTCCAAAAAAGGAAAATTAACAATAGGGAATGAAAAATCATTCCGTTTTGTCGTAAGTTTTTGTATAGAGTTTCTGGTGTAAAACTGAAATATCTAAATCTAGGAAAGGACAGTTATTGCTGTTAATATTTGATAAATTAAGTAAGTTGCTGTTGGTGCATTTCGGCAGTATATTTAGAGAATTCTTGATTATTTAACGAAAAAGTATCATCAAGATAACGGTAAGTATTGTTGAATTTATGAATTAAATGGAATGTATATGGGTCTTTACTGATTTTTGCCATAAACTGTGATTCATAACAGTACAAGAACAAGTCTCCCGTTAAAGGGGCACAATTGGTGCCCATAGGAACACCTACAATCTGTCGATAAACTTTATTGCCAAAACGTAAATACATGTTGTCAAGGAGAAAATTCTAATGCCAATGTTCAACTTATGCTTAACGTCTTGTAGTGAAACACGACCGTTCGGAAGTCAGCTGCTACTACAAATTACGCCTGGTTATTTTGAAATCTTAAATAAGTATACTATGGAGCACATTAATCCTCAATTGTGTTAATGCAAAATCATGGACAAGTAAATTTGAGCTCAAAATGGTCTATATATATTTCGCTTTCACCAAAAGTTTCGTTTCTGCAAAATTGTTTGTTAGTTTAAGCATAAAATTACATCAAAAACACTATTTTTGACAGAGAAGGTCCATTTTTACATATATTCTGAATTGGAGTGGGTGAACTGTTGGTTTGATTCCTAAACGTCAAACGTCTACGAATAATCATAAATGAAACAAATACTTGTTTTATTTTAATAATTAATGCATAGTATTTATTTTAATGATTGGAGTGCATAGCAATTACGTAGGAGGTATAATGAGAGTTTTTCAGGAAATATGTTTGGCGCCTCCCTCCAAACCGCACGTTTGCATTCAAATTACTTGGAAAGCCAGGAAAGTCTACATATTGGTCTTTACAAATATAAAATTAAGCTTTAAACCATCTTGTACTAATATATAGTAAATATACTGGAACAAGTTTCCTTTGCCACTCTTCCTTTGTTCCGTCATGCCCTCCACAAACCCCAACTCAAAACTACGCTCCATTGCTTCTGTTAAATGATAATTTTCCATGTCCTTAAGCTTTCTCGCACTTAATTATTCAATGCTAAAATTTATGTTGGGCCTATTCTTTTCCGTCTTAAAGTTATATATTGTTTTCCCTCTGTTTTTTTTTTTTTTTTTATTTTTGAAATCCCGAATCCAAATTTAAAACGATTTTCTATCGCTTTTCTTCTGTCTTAAAAGTTATATAATGTTTCAAAGTCCCTTTGCCTTTCTTGCCATCCTCTTCCTCCGAATCAACAACGATAACTCGCCTTTGTTCTGTCTTAAACTTCGTATATCAATGAAATAGCAATCTTACCTCCGACAGCAATTATTAGGTGTACACCTTCCATTATACTGTGTTTTGCAACTTGGTTTAAGGACCTCAGTTAGTTGCCTTAAATTAAAACAAATATATACTAAATATACTAAAGATGTTCCATTGTGTCTTACTCCTGTTAAGTTAGATAAGTTTTATCAGAAGGTTTTACTGCTATTAACAGAGATGTAATTAAATCCCCAACTTTCAAATTTATTCACCAAAGAAGTATACCAACTTGTTGATACTAGATGTTTAGCCAAAGTTAATGTTACATCATGTAAGGCTTATATACAGTTTATACGTATCAGGCCGAAATAAATACTACTAAGTAAATAATATTTTGTCGAGCAAATTTATTCATTTATAAGACATACAGCAAAGGTTAAATTTTATGTTTTACTTTTACGAACAAAGCATAAAGTTACTACTTTTTCTGATACTTTTAAAATTGAGGCGAAAGAGACCAAAGGGACATTCAAACTCATAAGTCGAAAAATATACTGACAACACAATAAAAAAAAGACAAACAGACAAACAACAGTACACAAAACACAACATATAAAAGACTGAGCAACACGAATCCCACAAAAACTTGGGGTGATCTCAAGTGCTCCGGAAGGGTAACCAGATCCTGATCCACATGTGGCACCCGTCGTGTTGCTCATGTAAGTACAAACTCGGTGGTAAGTCTAATTCGGTCAATAACATTCGGGGAAAAGGGGACGGGATTGTAGTTACGACAATTGGAACACATCCGTCGTCAAACAGATACTCCGTAACGGTCAACCGACTCGTGATTGCGTCAGTAAAATTTACGAAGTGATGATTTTAACGTAACCACTTGGAAACTTGGTTTAATAGCTTCCTTGTGAGCCGCAACCCACTATCAAGGAAATCCGGATAGGAAATACAAGCCCTGGAATAACCTATCAACTGGATGATATATATGCCGTATGCAGGCGCTGCTGGAATGTTGCTACATATAAATGGAAAGTTCACAATTGGGAAGTTGAAATTATCTCTGTTGTCGTAAAGTTTTCTTTTCAACCGACCTTCATTGTCAATTTCTAGATGTAAGTCAAGATATGTGGCAGACTTAACTGTATCTGGTGTATCCTTTTTTCTCAAGTTCGATGGGATTTATGCGTTCAACATAGTCAACGAATTATGTAGTGTTTATAAAACTGCGGACACATAGAAATAAAGAGATGTGGTATGATTGTAAATGAAACTTTGATGTATACAACTAAAGGGCACTGTTCTGCCTACCAAAATGAGCAACACAAATACCATATAAAAAGCTCCGGCATGACAAAATGTGACACAATTAAAAAAAAATTGTCTAAATTGTTTAAAATGATATATAAACAGTTTCTACTTCAGTACAATATATTCTATGACTTTCTGACTTTCTGCAATCTGCTAGCCGCCTACTAAAATAGAAATGTCCTCGAAGAACCCGAGTCAATTACTCAAAACTGCAGAATTATTTCCTCCGAAATCTTTTTCATTTGTGCGATGCACACTATATATAACAATAACCATTAAAGTTTTGATGGTCTCGAAACACTTTCCCCATAAATATTTGTAATTCTCGACACTATAGTGTGTGTTATTTGTCCCCTCCCTATACCCCAGATTCGATAGATTGAATAGTCCCATGTATTTTTGTTTTGTTTGAATAAATTACTCACTTCTATGTAACAAACTAATTTTGTACACCTAAATTGTAATAATGAAAATAATTCTTTATTCATTCCGTGCAAACGATACAACCCAAATATTTTGAAAGCCAAGAATGTATAAGACATAAACACGTGAAGAGCTGTATGACGCGAAGGGACCTTAAACATAGCCAAATTAATTAACGGTCACTTTCCCTGTCTATAACCGATGTCCAGAATTGAAATTAAACAAGTTGCTGAATGACTTGTTGCAGTTTGATAGAATTCCAAAGTATCTTCCTCGTATCTCTTAATCTAACAATTTGTTGCGCGCACTGAAATAACATCATTTAACTGCATTTGAAAGTACAAAAACAATAGTATATTTATCATAAAGGTCAAGAAGAGTTTCTATGTCATATAGCTTTTACCATAAAAATAAGACAGTTCGAAATCAAATACATGACTGACAATAACAATTTTAATTACAGACAATGAAAAAAAAAACAAAAAATCGACGTCATTATAAAATTCAAAATTGAAATGATGAGATGATATATCTATATATGTTATATAAATTGCCAGGAAATGATGTATAAATATACAGGACAAGTAATTCGGAAGGACTCTACAATCTTAAAGAGAAAATATGAAGTGGTACATATGAGATAAAAGACGGACGAAAGATTCCAGAGGGGCAGTCAAACTCATAGATCGAAAACAAACTGACAACGCCATGGCCAAAAATAAAAAGACAAACAGACAAATAATAGTACAGATGACACAACATAGAAAACTAAAGACTAGGCAACACGAACCCCACCAAAACTGGGGGTGATCTCAGGTGCTCCGGATAAGTTATTCTCAAGAATATTTCTCAATAACTGTATAAAAAATTTAGATCAAATAATATCTCAGGATATTTACATTCTTCTAGAAATTGTGGATGCCTAGCATTAATTGAAAATAAACTAAACTTTGATGACTTACCTGCACTATAGAATCCATCTGTTTTTAATAATGTGAGGTTTTTTTTATTATAACTTTCGCAGTAATTTCATGTTTACCTTCAGAAATTACAGAATATTATGAAACTGGAAAGTTAAAACCATTTTATACTATCTCTATTAACTAAAAATTGATCCCCGCTTTGTTTAACCGAATCCACAAATCTTTTATGTTTAAATGTATTTTCTCTCAAAAAAATCGGATTGAAAAGCAGGGAAGTAATTAATTCCGATGTAATTACTGAGTTCTTCTGTTTTATTAACGTTTAAGTCTAGCGTTATTAGTCTTTTGGAATCTACCATCTGATCAATCATAATAGAGTGTATCGAGACGAGATTTTGATGGATGATTGTGATCAAGAAAAAGTTTTTTGTATCGAATTGCTGTGTGTCTTTCTTGTAAAGAAAATACGGTGTCATTGAAAATTCCACTTCAACTTAAAATGTACTTTAGACCATTTTTATTCCATCATCAGTAAAACAAAGATCACTTCTGAGTGAGCCATGGGATATAATATAAATTTCAAAATTGGATTTTTTATCCATAATTAGTATCCATCGAATGTGCCTTCTGATTTTATGAATTACCCTGGATGAATTCTAATCAACAGAATTGACTTTAAAATTAATCATTGGAATGTATTCTATTTGTTTGTTTCCATTTTATTTTTTGTTTATTCATTGATAGGTACAAAAACATGTTAAAACTACTACTTAATAACTAGCACATAAAGTCGTTTATATTTTGCTATGATCTCTCTCTCTCTCTTCACATCCGCACTTACAATCTTCAATGTTGCTACTGTGATCAGTTACAAGAAAACCTAAATTGGGTGCCCTGTAACAAATTTTAATATTTTTTCTTTCAGTCCAAAGAAGAGCTTAGCGCCCGAAGGGTATTGTCCGGTCGGCATCACAGATTTTACAAAAAAAATCCAAGTGCGTCGAATAAAACAATAATAAGACGACAGCTGTCCTTTTGACCAAAACAGGTTTAATATATTCGATACTAGTAGCTTAGCTTCTTTGGACTCTATCAACATTGTTTGCAAAGTTACTATTGTACAGGGTAATATCCATAGCTTGACAGCCCTTGCATGTGACTTTAAGGACGTTATCAGTTCAAAAAAGTGTTGTTTAGATTCAATTGAAAATGTTGTTTATCTTAGATAAGAGGCATCAATTGTTCAAAATTAAATCCAATTAGTAAAAAACACACAAAGAAAAAAACATGGAGAAATGACATGTATTCCAAACGGACCAAGACCGGTTGCTTTGGCGAACTGCAAGTTATGCATGTATCACCGGACATAATTCTGTCCTATGCATAAGGTAAACAAAATAAAAACACAGACGGCAAACAGAGATGTCTACACCTCCAAGTTAGCAGGAGATTGCAAGCATTTTGACTTGTGGCATTTCAGGGAAAACAAAACGATTCAATCATTACCTTACACTTCCTATTCCGACAAAGGAAATGACGTTTCACTTTGCTTAGTACACAAAAAAAAAAAAAAAAAAAAAATAACAACAAACAAACCAGAAAACCACATATGTTAACAACTCAGTTAGGATTACATTAAGGTTAAACTGGTTTCATCAATAAAGAAAGCTATGCAGGTACACAAAAGATAGAATATATCACAAATCTTTTATTATAATCTGCCTGAAGTTCTAATGACTTCATTCTCATGGAATTGCCGGGCTACCAGCTTTAACCACCGGACAATACATCTTGTGTTGCAAACGATTTAATATATTCCTACTCTTCCGGAAAAAATGCGTTTCATTTCGCCTTATATTGGAAATAAACTGTCAATCTACCTTTAAATGTTGTTTTTTTTGGTCTGTTCGAATATGCATTCCTCGTTTGTCTATGCAAATGTTTGGTTTTTTTTTTCGTAAATTTACACTAAATTCATGTTTTTTTAATAAGCATTATAACACAGTTTTTTTGTAGGGTTCGTGTTGCTCAGTCTTTCTAGTTTTCTATGTTTTGTTTTGTGTACTGTTGTTTGTCTGTTTCTTTTTTTTTAGCCATGGCGTTGTCAGTTTATTTGAATGTCCCTTACGTATCTTTCGCCTATCTTTTTTTCCGGTATCTTCGATTTTCAACATGTACCTTAAAGTGAAGGCTTCGTGGCCTATAGAAAAAAAGGCTAGGTTCAACATCGAATATTTATCGTTGATTCTGCGTTAATCTGTGTGAGAGATTCCGTTTAGTAGTATTTATTTGAATATTGACATTTAATGAAGATATATAAAATGAACAACCAAGACAAGGAAATCATTATGATCAACAAAAAATTCTACATACAAGATAAAGATTTTCTTTTAGTTATTGATAAATAAATGGTGACATATATTTTAAATCAGCATATCAATGTTAACATATATTCGTACG